CCCTCGCGTCCCCCCCCTGCTGCTGCTTCCCCCCCCCCCCTTTTTTTTCCCCCAACTGGAGCGAACGATGGAGGCGGAGTCGAGCCACACACACACACACACACACACACACACACACACACACACGCGCGCGCACACACACAGAGTGACATTTCGCATCCCGCACTTGCCTTACGCTCACCTTCAAGCATCCAGCCCGAGCCCGCCAACCGACCGACCGACTGACCGTCCGCAGCAGGGGAGCCCAGCCGTGTCGTCGCCCCAAGATGGATGCACTCATGAAGGGCTTCTCCATGGCCAAGGAGGGGGTAGTGGCGGCCGCGGAGAAGACCAAAGCCGGCATGGAGGAGGCTGCAGCCAAGACCAAGGAAGGCGTCATGTATGTCGGTAAGAGAGTGGCGGTGCGGCGCTGTGCTGACCCTGTGCCAAGGGAGAGTTGGGGGGTGCCGAGTTGTCGTGGAAGATTCTGGGGGCGAAAAGAACATTTGTTATTCCTCTGAATCAAACGTGAGTATTTGAATTTGTGACACCATCCTGGGACGATTGCGTCACCTGTCAAAGTTACATGGAGGCTTCCTAGACCTCCTTTTTTCCTGTAAATTACACCAAAAAAAAAAAAAGGATTGTCAGTGCGTTCTTGTATTTATATAAGGGGGAGAGAAAGATGGGCACTGCGTCACCTCATCCTTGTGTCACTTGCGTGCCGCTCGGATGACTTAACACCTTCCACTTGGAAAAAAAAAGATGAGGAGGGGAGGGAGAGCGGATTAAATGCAAAACGCGCCGATAACATGCTAAGAAGATTCAATCCACATGCATTGATGTCTTTTGACTATAGCACAGGGTGGGGGGGTACCGCTTGTCCACAAGTGGGGGGGCCAAAAGAAGCTGTGTCATTGCATCAATTCAGTGTGTATGTGAGATGCACCAATGTGGTGTCTGTAGGCGCGAGGCCGGCGGTGCATGTGCAAAAAAAAAAAGAAAAAAGGCCAGGAGGGCCTCAAATGCGCCAAACTACGCCGTTATTCACTCCTTGCCCTTCGCACGCCACATTCATCCCTCCTCGTCGTCCCTCGCTGTGACAGATTATATAATAAATGCGTTTAATCTGCTGCTTGTAACGAGAGTACGGGGCCGCACTGGGAAAGACGTTGCAATGGCGTCGTCCGATGGGATGTTTTGGTGAGACAGGTGGGAAAAAGAACAGATGCAAAGAATGAATACAACAGAAGGGTCATGACCGATGTTGCTTGGCTCACCAGGAAGTTGCAGGGTACATGATATGCAGGTTCAGAAACAAAATTTAGTCAAAGAGTTCAATTGGGGAAGGGAAAGAGGGGCCAAGGGGCCGACTGCTTTGCCCCAGTTGAGGGTAGCCAATGAGCTCGCGCCGAATGGCAAGGGCGACGAAGGAGGCCATTGCTTGAAATGTTCTGTTTGCTTCCCTTGGTCAGGTAACAAGACAAAGGAAGGTGTTGTATCGTCAGTAAACACCGGTACGTACATTTCACTTCACACCATACAAAATGTGGGAGACCTCGCCTCAAGTCATGTCTCCCTCCCCCGGGCCCCCTAGTGGCCAACCGGACCGTGGACCAGGCCAACATCGTGGCGGACACGGCCATCAGCGGTGCCAACGAGGTGTCGCAGGCCGCCACGGAGGGCGTGGAGAACATCGCCGCTTCCACCGGGCTCCTGAACCAGGTCGGTTACCGTGGCAACCGCCTCCCAGTTGGGGGACCCTTTACCTTATCGCTGTTTTTATCTACATTTTTGTGTCTGTGCCCCCCCCCCCCTCCTAGGAGGAGTCCGTAAACCAGGTGCCTACACCTTGCATGCTACTAATATATTGGACGAAGGTTCCATAATTCAAACCGCATCTCCTCTGAGGCACACTTCTTACACTAACAACATGGCTATAATCAAACAAGTGCTAGCTTACTAAAGCACAGTCGTCTTTTTTTTTTTTGCCATTTGGTTGCAATAGTCAGCGACTTTTCTGAACCCTCGAGCAGCTTTTTTTTGGTCTCAAATTGGTAAATAGCAACTTTAATTTACTGCAACCAGAACATCCTTAAGCTTTTGACCCGAGGTATGTGCCCCTCAACTATTCCGCAAAAGTTCTTAGTTTAAGAACATGTTTTACTTGAAAAAAATGTTTTGAAGCTCTTTTGTTTCCAGAAGACACAAAGAAAATCTCAGAATGTGTCAAAAAAAAAAAAAAACTGAGCTTTTATTTTAAGGCCATTTCCATTTTCGCAATTTTACCCGTCAATGTGGTTTCAAGTACGGTAGCATGTTAAGCCGAACCAACGCTAACACCTCCAGCATGACGCTAGCCAACTCTTGGACGACGGCCCTGCAGCATGTTCAAACGGCTTTCTTGGCTCTCAGCTGCAGGACCCCCCTCCCCCCCCCAAAAAAAAATGTAAACAAGACAAATGGCCACAGGCACTTGAACTTATGCCCAGAACCCTCATGTATTTATTGTTATTTTTCCTGTCGCCCCGACAGGGAGAATACGGAGGGATGGAGCAAGGCGGCGAAGGGGGAGAGGTAAGACGAAATATAACCATGAATAATGTTTTGTTTTGTTTTTTTTGCATTTATTTTTTTCTGCAAACTGAAATTCCGACTTCTTGAACAACTTGACAATTAATATTCCAACTTTATTCTGGTAGAAATACACCCCCCGCACCCTAATCATATTTTTGTACGCATTAAATTCACATTTCTTAAAACAATACTTTGGCTATTCTGATGGTAAAAAGGTAAAAATGACTGTTGATCTTTTGTGTGTATACATTTATTTTTTTAAATACGACAACTTGATTCTTGTTTTTAAAAAAGCCAACTTTTTTTGCGCAAAACTCTCTCCTAAGACTTGATCTCATCTCTCCTCAATCAGGGCTATTAGTTCCTGTCAGGACCTGCTCTCCAGCAGCCCCTCGTTCCCCTTCGCCCTCTGGCTCGCTGAACAGGAGTCCGGGTGTTTGTTTCTATTTCATTCGATTTCTTTTTTTGTTTTGTTTTTTTCTGTGTGTGACTTTTACCGGAGCCAAACCCATCTTGGGTGGAACTCTTCCGGATGCAGCATCCCCTCGCCATCCCATGTGTCAAGTGTCGTCCCAACTACGCACCCGAACCCTGGAAAAATAAACGAGAGACACACATGCATGAAACAACCACACACACCCACACAAAACTAATTGGCAATAATAAGTACAAAGTGAATTGACAAGAAAGGCTTTGAAATGAGCAATAAAGAATACGTCTCCGTAACAATACAGAGTGTCTTGACTACATGCGTTTTTTTGTGTACTTACCTGGTTGCATGGCATCCTACAATCATCACGGGGACGAAGCTTTCATGGTGGGCCGAGGCGTCTGCTCCGATGGAAGTCATGGAGATGTAGTTGATGCGCAGCATTTTACAGGATGACACCAGCATTCTTTTGCGCTATTGCCCAGCTTCAAGACGGCATTATTGATTTTATAGTGTCCAAGTGAAAAAAAAAAAAAAAAAAAAATTGTTGGTGTTTAAAAACAATTTGCGTCTGCCTTTGTATGACGTGTACTTCATGACACATGTATCTGCACATAATTCCAAAAATATGTATTTGTTTACCTGCTACTATATTAATCGAAAGTTTTTAAAAAGACAAAAAAAAAAAAATCTAACTTAGCAACAGTTGAGGTTTTAACATTTTATTGTTTTCCAACCAAAAAGGAAAAAAAAAAATACAAAAAGAATGTCCTCTAACGTGAAAATGAGGATGTGGACGGTTAAAATAGGAGGAGGACAGAGACATCAAACAAAAAGCTGCTTTACAGAACTTCATTGGGGGGGAACAAAAACCGTTGACTGGACCTTTCATTAAAAAAAAAGAAAAAGTCACTAACTGTGAAAACTTTGCCAATCACTCTTTGTAAGATTTCTTTTATTGTGGTGATATTACGTAAATCCCTTTTTTCCCCAGCATGAAGGCATCTGCAGTGCTCATCAAAACCAGTGGGGGGCGCACACAGGTGGCCATCAAATTACAGTGAAAAAAACTGGACCGCCTACATAGTTTGTTCTGCGGAGTTGTGGAACTTTTGTCTGCTTCTTGTGACGTGTAAAGGCGCGTAAACGACGGCGTATGCAAAGATGGCGGCGATATGTTTTCAAGGCTGTTTTAAAGCTCGACGGGTGCGGGGAGGGAAAGACGACGGAGGGGCGAGGGACGCGTTTATGTGAAAGTCAGGCCCGCCTCGTTGTACACCTTGAACACCTTCTCGATGGCGTTGACGTAGGCGGCCGTCCGCAGGTCCAGGCCCAGGTTGTACTTGCTCGCCGTGCGCATGATTTGCTGAAGAAAAAAAAAAAAAAATAGAAGCCACGCGACACTTAACTGTCAGAAAATGGATGCACGTCCAATTTGCTGTTCTCCAACCACTCATCTGGCAAGAATACATTTTTCTTTTGTTTATTTCCGAAGATTTTTACTTCTGTGCCTTTCTGTGACTCTTCCGGTCTCACTGCAGCCATCAGCTGATGACACTCTTTCTGAGATGCTGTTCATTCGTTGTTCGGTGCCATCCCTATCTTGTAATGTCAATATTTGAACAGGACTACGCAGACGAGTGTTTCAACATCCATTCCAAATGGAGCAGCACGTTTCGTTAGCGGGTCAGCTACTTCGCTGAAAAAAATATTTGTATGCCGAATGTACTCAATTTTTTGTTCATCAAGCGGCCGCGCAAAATAAAATCATCCAGATGCATTTTGAGGACGGAGAGTTATCTGGCAGGTTTTGTAAAACCTATCTACTGATCCTATCGCTCTGGAAGAATGAACTCAATGTTGAGCAGCTCTGCTTACCCTGGCGGATCTCTCCATGGTGTAGGCCAAGCCCGAGTGGACGATGTCCTTCTCGGAGGCACCCTGCAACCCAAAGCAGTCCCACTGAATCCCCTTGGCATTTGCGTACCCATTGTGCAGCCGTGCGGCACTCTACGGGTGGAGCGGGCATGACCAGCTTTCCGAAATGCGGGTCTACTCACGGCAACTCTGGCCTGGAAGTCGGCGGTGGGCACGATGGGGATGGGTCCGCCCTGCTTGCCAAATTTCCTCTCCAGACTCTCCTGCACCGACACTGGAGGGCACAGAGAAATTTGTCGAGGGCGCCGACAAAAGAGAGAACTTCACTCGTCCGTTTGGTGTACTCACTGAGCAGGTGGTAGTTGGAGTCCCGCTCGTATTTGAAGGTCAGGCGGCCGTAGCTGACGTGGTTGAGATTCTTCAGCCACTCGAAATAGGACACCGTCACACCGCCGGCGTTCAGGTACATGTCCTGCAAGGCGGTGGGCGACCCGTCACAGTTCTCCCAAACACCGCTCATTATCGCCCCCCTCCCTGCCGATGACGAGATTTTCCAGGGGAGGACTTACAGGGATCACCATGACGTTGTTGGCCAGGAAGACCTTGTCAGCGTCGGGCGTGGTGGGACCGTTGGCGCCCTCGGCGATAATCTGGAGGGGGGAGGGAGAGGGGGAAAAAAAATACTGGTCAACACATCACAGCCACCGGGCGAGCGGATCAAAGTCTTTGCTTGCGCGAGCCCCAAGAACACAAAAAAAAGGCTTTGATACTTCACCCTACGTCTGTCATCCAAAAAATGTTTTCTGTGGGAGACTTTTTTTAGATAAGACATTTGAAACAAAAAGAGAGGTGGGAAGAGAGTGAGGAGGGGCAGCCGTGTTCACCTTGGCTTTGATCCTGGGGGCATTGTGACGCGTCAGCTGCTTCTCGCCGGCGGCCGGGATCAGGATGTGGCAGTCGGCTTCCAAAATGTTCCCGTCGTAGGGCTTGGCGCCCGGGAAGCCCACGATGGTACCGTGTTGCTGTCGGGGAGAGCCACGCAGTTCGAGCACGGGTCGCGTCGTCACGGCGACACCGCCGCGTAATTTTGAGAAGTGAAAACAAGCCGTACCAGCTTGTAGTCCTCCAGCTGCTTGGGGTCGATGCCGTCCGGGTTGTAGATGGCGCCGTCGATCTCGCCGATGCCCACGCACTTGGCGCCGTACCTGTGCAGGTACCTCATGGAGTGCAGACCCACGTTGCCAAAGCCCTAACACACACACACACGCGCGCATACTTTTAATACAAGGGGATCCCAAGTCACTTTTCCCCATTAAAATGAACGAAACAGCCATGAATCTGTTTCGGTCGCCGGCAGACAAACAAAAATAATAATTTATGAAACTGCATTCGATGTTTTACTTTTACAAAAACGTCACATCAATGGAATGTGAGACCCGCAGCCTAAACCTGTAATAAAAATAAAAAGAATAATTCCAGCTCACTGGGGTGGTACAAACCGATGTCAGTGGTCTGAATGGTCGCCATTGTTTCAGTTGAGTGAAAACGGCAAAGCTTCAATTCTCCGTCGGCTAAACCTCGGAGAAGATGTAATCTGCGACTCAGCGCCCGACGCGATCCTCACACAAACACTCCCAGAGGGATTAGCCTTTTGATCCTGAATGTCGCCAACAAGCTGCTGTGCCCACTGGACCCTTATCTTTCCCCTAAGCGCATCTTTTGCAAAAGCTCCTTCAGTGACTTGTCTGCCTGATGCATGAAGCCTCTTTTTTTTTTTTTTTTCCGGGCTGCAACTGAAGTCGATGACATCAGAGTGAGGCTCAAACAGAGCCCTTATCGAAAGCCTTCGTCTCCTCCTCATCACGTGCGGTCACCTGGACGATGAAGGTCTTGTCCTTGAAGCCGGGCGTCAGGCCCAGCATGCTCATGTAGGACGCCTCGTTGATGAAGTTCTCGATGCCGTGGAAGACTCCGCGACCGGTGGCCGAGATGCGGCCGTGGATGCCGCCCTGGCTGATGGGCTTGCCCGTCACGCAGGCGTGGGCATTGATGTCCTGTCCAGACAGAATTAAAAACAATCACGACTGTTATTATTAGGAGGCTGCCTCCAATTGGCCGTGACCGGTACTGCACCCTTCTTGAGTTTCAGACACCCAAGAGGCGACTGGCTGAGCGTCACTTCACACTACCCACAATGCTCTGCTCTCAAGATACTCCGAGCGGGAATGCGTGAAGCATTCCGACGGGCCGGCCAAGTTTATCTGGACCGCGTGACGGCTTGACGCAAATGAAACGCTAACGGAAGACACTTTAATAGGCACGCCAGCCCGTACGTCGGCTTTTCAATCGGAGGTCCCAAAGTGCTCTCTTTGCACAGCGGCTGAGTAAACAAATCATTTGTAGCCGCCTCATCAAATATGCTTTGCATAGTAAATGTTGCCTTGTTAAGCCATTAGTCGTACATCATTAACTTGTCAAGTGAAGCTCTCTGTCCAGAAGGCTGCTTGCTTTTCTTTTTTTCAGGCAAGAGAGAGCGAGAGACGAGGAGGAATGTTTGCTCTGGTGGGAAGGGAGAGGCAGGAAGCCGGTGGTTTGGAGTGACTCACTCTTTCTACTTCTTGTTTACCCCAAAAAGAAGGAAGGGGGAAAAAAAAAAAAAAAGGCGGCCCAACAGCTTTCAGACTGACCGTGTGCGCGATTGTGTTGGCGTAGGTGTCGGCGATCCAGGACATTTCCCGCTCGCCTGTGCTCATGTCGGGAGCTGGGACGTCGATGCCGGGTCCTGGTCGGGAAAGAAATGTGAGAGCATTTTGAAGGAAAAAGCTCCACTGTGGATTTTTGTAGTTTTTTTTTTTTTTTTTTTCCAAGCAATTGGAGATATTGGGTGGAATATTATAAAAACAAGCTTTGGCTTTCAAAGTTCAAACCTGGGCTGATGTTTAAAATTTTCCAGAACAAGGTCCAAAAACTTAGGCGGGGTTGCAAAAATGAAGGCGGGAGGAGGAGGGCTGCAGTCTGAGCTGGCATCTGTGTGGGGAGGTTTTTTTTTTTTTTTTCCCTACTGTGGGCTGCTAGAAATGCCCAACCCCCCTGCGCGCGCCCCAAATATGAATCCCCGCCAAAGAATGGTGCCTGTGGAATTACTGCAAAATTAACTTTTGTATTCGTTCATGTGGGAAAGTATAGTTGAGTATCTTGAAAGGGTCTGGGGCCATTTTGAGGGCAAAATTGTGTCCTGCAAAGGGACATTTTTACTGATTGAAGATGCTCTACTTCACTGCGCTTCACATAATGTGTTCGCTCACCAATGAAGCCCTTCTTGGCCAGCTCAATGGTGAACCTGCGGGTGATCTTCTCCAGCTCGTTGTCCTGCCAAGCCAAAAGTTCAATGATGACATCATTCCTTCTCCTTTTGGTAAAAAAAAAAAAAAAAACTACTTTCTGCTGAGGGCCAGTGGCGTGTGACTCACAGAGTAATTCCTGGGGTTGATCTTGACTCCGGCTTTGGCCCCTCCGAACGGCACATCTGGCAAAGTGGA